GATGAGAAAAACGATTCTGGCATTGGTTTTCCAGAAAAGTCTGTGCTTTTCAAAATGGCGGCGGTGAAAATGGCGGCCTCGAGCGGGAAATGGATATTTAGGCTGCGTATCGTTGGATTTGCATGAAACTTGGTATCTGGGGGTATTTCGGCACGAGAAGAACGAATCTTTCATTGGATATCTGAAATTTTGACAAATTCCAAAATGGCGGCGGAACAATTGCGGGAAATCAGTTTTACGGCTCTTTACCGATGGAGTTGCATGAAATTCGATATCCTGGCGGTTTTTGGCTCTTTAAAAAGGAATCTTTCATTAACTTCTTGAAGTATCAAATAGTTTCATGCAAATCCATCGGTAAAGAGCCGTAAAACTGATTTCCCACAATTGTTCCGCCGCCATTTTGGAATTTGTCAAAATTTCAGATATCCAATGAAAGATTCGTTCTTCTCGTGCCAAAATACCCCCAGATACCAAGTTTCATGCAAATCCAACGATATGCAACCTAAATATCCACTTCCCGCTCGAGGCCGCCATTTTGACCGCCGCCATTTTGAAAAAGACTGACTTTTCTGGAAAACCAATNACACAATATCTTATAGCCTTTTATAGACGATGGCGATTAAGCAACAGCCTGGCGATAAAGGATATGCTAAACGTTACTAATTACGGATGCTAGGACTCAGTGAGTTTTTGGACTACCGCTCTCTTTTTGGGCCGTAGTATATTGATTTATTTTGCGAGGAAAGCTCCTTACTTTTGAAAGATGCCTGCCATTCCTAATATGTTGAAGCGCCTTCAATTTCGATACTGTGCAATACCTCTGATGTGAAATAGTTGCTTCAAGCGCCGTGGTACATTGCGGCGCGGCGGGCGAGCAGCCAGCGTAAAACGCGCATTGGCGCCTACAAACCTAACAGGGATACTTCTCGCATTGCGCAATGCGTGAAGTATCCCTGTTAGGTTTGTAGGCGCCAGTGCGCCGCCGCTCCGCCTTGTGTTAGGCTATAACATTTAATCTCGTGAAGTCAGCGTTGTTCAACGCATGACTTTGAAATGTTTACACACTCTGTATGGATTATTCTCATTTTAATTGATGAAAACAAATATGCAGTTAAGGAAAATATAATGTGCGTTTTGTAAATATTATGGTGATTCCGTACAAACTTATGGATTTACAAAGCACATGAATTTCTACACAATTTCATGTAGCGTTTTATAGCCGATGGCGAAAAAACAACAGCCAGGCGATAAAATGTAAAGCCCGGCGACAGAAACTATAGCCCGGCTGTTTAATTTTTTATCGCTTCGTGTAGCCCCGCCGTATAATTTTTTCCACTTTCTACAGCCAGCTATATGATTTTCTATCGCCTTCGTCAGTCGGCCGTAAGAACTCCTATGGTATTTTGAAACGCAGCTCCTATCGCCAATTTTTACCTGGGGTCTTCATTGATAGGTAAGTACACAAAATCAAAAAGTAGATCTGAACTCAACTTTAAATTACCTAAAATCTGGGCTACTTTTTTTTTTTTTTTTTTTTTTTTTTTTTTTTTGTGATGAGGGGAAAAATTCGCTACAGTGCCCCCATCATGAGGGTTGATTTGGGCTACTTCATTCATACTAAATTATAGCCTATTTCCTACGGTCATTATAATTTTGTTCATGTTTCATTCCGAATGTTTGGTTTCAATCTCGTAAAATGACGATGCTTGTGAAACTTGTGGAGTTAGGTCCTTGTGTTTTTAAGCTCTTCCATTGCTTCGCGGCAGATTATTAAATCCTTAAGTAATATTAATAGCACCTAACGAAAATGTGAAGAGATAGATTGAGCTATGAAAAACTCATAAAATCAGCTCGTGGGAGAATGTTATCACGTCTTAAGAAGAATGAATAAACGATAGAATTAGAATTTCTCTACATCTTCTGACCCTTTCTCAGGCAAGAGGGTGGAAGAGATTCATTGAGGATACACTTTTCAGCCGGATCAACTTGATTCGTAAACTTACTATATTTTCCTTCAAAGTCCACTCCTCTCCTTGGCGATAGAGCCAAACCCCCAGTAGACTTTTCCCAGAGCCACTCATATCACGCACTTGGAACTTTAATTAATTAATTAATTAGTTAGTTAATTATTTATCGCCTGATTAGCTGATGACGCCAAGTTAGGAGCCGAATCATGTGCCGAAAACTTCGCACGCTCGTCTATAAAATTCTCGCGGCGCGGGTGATTTGGGGCGACTGAAGGGTGGATGAGACTAGCTAGCGCTCAAATTTCAGCCAGGGCTGTGATTGGCCCGACTTGAATCACGTCACGAAGCGGTGAGCTCTGATTGGTGCCGGGGCGATTGATACAGGCTAACTTATGAATCCTCCCCTGCCGCCCCCCCGTGTTTTGCGTCTGCCCCGCGCCCCCCGTTTTGACCCCTTTTTCCAGCCCCCGAGGAACCCTCCTCGCAACAAGTGGTGGATGCTGTTGCCGCCACTCTGCAAAGTCTCCGCTTTTCATTCAGAGGTTTACGCACGCGTGTCAACGGTACTAATTGGATCGTATCCAGGAGAGATCAACCTCCTCGCTTCGCGCAACGGAGAAGAAAAAAACAAACAAAGAAACATCTCACGAAAATCAAGCATAGGCGGATCCAGACATTTCAAAAAAGGGGGCAGGCGGCCGGGAGTTCGCGGGGTTTATACAGAAATTTTTTGACATTTTCCGAAGCATCTACAATACAGTTTAAGTCAATTTTGTCATGAATAATTACCAAATACAAGCGACCTTCCTTCCTCTCTCCTCCGTTCCTTCCTCCTTTCTTTTCCCCCTTTTTCTTCCTCCTTTTTTCGGGGGGGGGCAACCCCCCCTCCCCTTTGGATCTCTCTATTAAATCGAAACCTCTAAGAATGATATTCACACTGTAGGTAGCTGTATTGTGATACTACTACCAGATTTTATCTCTTGTTAAGTAACATCCCCTATTTCAGACAATTCTGGTGCGTAAAATGGAGTTCTATACCCGCACATATCGTCGCTCCCATGTATCCAGGGCGTATCTCTAATGCCACATGAGTCACGGAAAGCATAGAGTTGTACGGAGAACAGGGCTCACGTGGAAATTCAGATACGTTCTTTTTTCTGCGGATAGTCACATATCAACGGTGAAACTCCCAAACCACGTATCTCTATTTGAGACGCTGCAGACTTCCCGTCATACTTTATATTTTAAATGGGCAACCAACGTCAATTTTTAAAAAACTTTGGTGATTTTTCCTCTTCGTGCAAATCAAAATCTGAAAAAAATTAAAGAAATGATGTGGACATGTTCTTGTGTAAAAATATAAAATAACTGTGGAGATTTTTAAACACCCCAAACGAGATACGTGGTCTGGTAGTTCCATCGTCGGCATAGAGGGTGATTGGTAAGTCCCACACCACTAAGACCAGGCACCACCGATGTAACTTTTGAAAAAATTGAGGTAGAATTGATTTTGTGAGTCTCCTAGGTCAAAGGGAGCGACCCTTAGAATCCCTCACAATTTTTGGTGTGGCTGTCTGAAAAAGAGCAAGATCCCTCTCCAATATCAATAGTTTTCCTAAAAAATAAACGCTTTATCGAAGGAGATTTGGCAACTCTCGAATGTTCATACGGCGTTTTTCCTTAGCTCGACAGTCGAGGAGTGGAAACAAGACGCGGAAAATCGCAAGTTTCCGGGTGAGATAGGCAACTGCTCCCGGGGTTTATTTCAGCAAACTGTTGCATCGGTGTCCTCCCCTTTTTTCGGACCCCCTCCGCCCCCACCCTTTTCCAGCCTCCGCATCACCTCCTCCCGGCTGACGCAACCGCTCGTGGAACAATTGATCATTCGTGACTTTAAAAAAGAGAGGAGGCAGGCGAAGAAATGGGAACCTAAAAGGGTATCTCTGTTCGACGAGGAGGGTGTGGGAAAGGACGATTTGTCGGGCGTCTCAAAGCTCCACTCCATGATTTCCCGATTCGCGTATTTTAATCGCCACGCTGTCAAGATCAATGCGAAAATTACGGATTGTTTCACCCGGGTAGTGATTATACTGTTGCTCTCACCAGAATTCAAAGGGGATTCTAGGCGATCCTGGCGAGCTAATTGTTGAAATTGATAAACAAAGCTATAGACAAAGAATACATAAAGAATATGGAGCGATACTATTAGTGATGAAACGAGTGCGGCTCTTATAGACTAAGGGAGAAAATGATGGACTAATTTAAGGGTCTCTCGTGAGTTGCCGTTAGTCAATTTATTACCTACCTCCTTTATTCATTGCAACCACCCGCTTCCACAAATAGGATCCCTTCATATCCTTTTGGTCCTCTTCGTTTATTGCTTTGTCCATCAGTTTCAACAATCAGCCCGCAGGTACTAGATCCGCCACTATGTTGCGCTCCTCAAGGGCGTGTCCTAACATGAGAAAATTTTACTGCTTAAATTCTTATGAAAGTGTTCGATGTGCTGAATCCGCAGTATTTTTTACACTTGTTTTCCGATTTTGGATATTGGAGGAAATTGATTTAAAAGTGAGAAAGTCTACCCTATTGTGAAATCATATGGTGGCATTTGTCATTACTTAGTTCTTCAAAAATTGTTCAATTGGAAACCGAAGATTTTTTCGTGCTCAGTTTACACAAGTAGTTACCATTTATCAACAAAACTCATCACATTTCAGACACCTGCAAATTTTACATTACCGTTACATAAAAGTTAATGCACGAAACTGATTCATAACATGTAGCTGCTTTAAAACTAGGTAGGGTGACATCAAATTCATGAAAATTCACTGAAAATTCAAATCAGATAATGCATTAGCGCGGACGTCGTTCTTTGACTAAATTTGTAAGAGAGATATATTATAACGCTATCTCTTTCTCACACATTCAGTAAACGGAAGACTTTTGTTATTTTAGTTTCCGATCTTAATTTTGAGCGGAGACGTATAACGTTGCAATGGGAGATACACCTTTTTCACTGTAACAAATACCTACAAGTACAAGTACAATGTCGATTCATTACTTGAAACTTCAGACATTTTACAAACCGTCTTAGCAAGCGAATTTAATAACTTAAAAATTAGGCATTTCAGAGACCACTAAGTACACGGAGTGATTTACCACCGACAATGCATTCATAGAACTCACATCTCGGTGAAGCGCCTTCAATTTTTCGAGTAGGCAGAAACTCCACCGCTGAGTTAGAATAGTTGCACGTAGCGCCTGCACGACAATCCCTCAAGGGAAAGATTAATATTCTGCTGAGTTGACGTTCATTCATTTCTTATATGTCCTTATTTATATCTTACAATCGGATCCTCCAAAAACTATATACGCTTTAGATATTAGCGATTATATCCAAAGCGTATATATCCAAGCGCACGATATTATATACGATATTAGCTTTGGACCGTGTTTAGCCAAGACGCACCAAGTCGTATTTTGGGAAGAAATGAGTTCGGTGTAGTATTAAATTCAACTAGTCGTAATTTTTTCCCCGTCAAAAACTCCGAGTCTACAGAAAATATTTTGAACGTGAATACAGCCTTTAAACGTTGCGTCCTCGACCCTGAGTCTTATGGGGATAAAAAAGTTCAAATCTCTCTTTCTTTGTCAAAACCATGATGCAACTTGGTGCGTTTCCAATAGGCGTGGTCTACCTAGAAAAATCAGCACAAGTTGACTATGTAAAAACTAATAATGTATCGGACACACCTCCACTTTTTTTAAAATTAAATTTGAAGTGATTCAAGGGCTCTGCCCCCATCCTCAGCGATAACCCGCGACTCCGGGTCGCGGGTTATCGCTGGGGAAACATCGCCCTCAGAACTCGTTCAATTTTAATAAAATAAAAAGTGCAAGTGCATGAATCCTATACATTATTATTTTTTTGCCGTCCACTTATCTCTGTACTTTTCCCAAAACCATCGAGCAAGACTGTATAGAGAATGTATCTACGGCGCACGGTGGATCGGGTCAATTGAGGAGAGGTTGGACAAAATTTGGAAATTTTAAACGCTTATTACTTCGTTTATACACAGATTTGAGGTTCTACAAGTGTTTCTATTGGGTTTTCCGTGAAATTTTCTTTCAGAAGCACCCTTTGAAATTTAAAATGTAACGAAATAAACATCAAAATTTGCACAATTTCATGTCCGACCACTCTAATTGACCCGATCCACCGTGCGGCTTAAGTCCGCAATCAAATATCTAGTTTGCGGTGTCTGAAAATCTCTGCCTCTATGTTATGTTTTCAAAGGAGAACAAATTGCCACAATTTCTTGAAGTTTTCGCAAAATCTTCTTCGCACAGAGAAGGGAAATCACGGCAATTTTCAAGAATTGCCGTTGACTAGTTTTCCGTTTGAAAAATGGACGCACTGAGAAAAATAGTTCTGTTTATAGGGCTTCTGCACTTTCTTTGTTACAGCTACTGCCGTATCGAGGACAGAGCGCTCTGTACTCACGACCGAAGTTCTGTTCTCACAACAAAAAGGTTCTGCAAGTATAACAAAGAAAGTGCAGGTGCCCTGTGATCAGAAGGCTCTGTCATCAGCACCGACTATTTTTTTGCGTGCGTATTTATGCTAAAAGGAACTATGTGTATGGGGTTTACGTGCAACATAGTGCCTTTTAGCATAAATACGTTCAAATAAAGTAAGACAGGAAGCCTGCGACGTCGTAAGCCGAGTTATTTGATTGCCGACTTACAACGTCGATATGAAAAAGTTCAAGGTTGGTTTCATTTCTTGTTTCCTTACTGAAAGTTTGCTAGGATGGCCGATAGAAATTGGATATTTCAATCGAGTATTTGAGATGGGGGAAGGGGAGGGGATGGAGTAGGTGAGGAGTAACAAGGACTCCACCATTTTTTTCAATTTTCTCAGATCCCGGCCACCACCATGTAGGACTCAGATTTTTCATCGTTTTTTTAAATCTTTATCGTAATTTCCGACTGAAAATGACTCAGTTTCGAGTCGAAACGTCTCGGTTTCTTTTAATTGAGTATTTTAGCCTCGTTTCCCGTTTTTCCTCCTTGTTTTTCTACTGTTGTTATTGTCTCGGGCTGCTCCATAAAAATGTGTATCTAATAACAAGGACTAGGGTTGAGTGCTTTGAAAAGCCCGAAGCGGCCGCGTTGCACTCGGAAGTAGGAGGGCTACCGAGTGAATGGGCCGAAAGGGTTATCGGCTGGCAGTTTAGTTGTGGACCGTG